GTACTGAAGCAAACACTCATGGTCGGTGTGCCAAGACTGATCGTCATGCTTACAGAAGGATCCAGTTTCACCATGACTCAGTGACAAATTTTACTACTCTCAGAAGTTTGACAGATGGCAACAGGAGATCTTTCCTGCCCACAGTCATCGCCATTTAAAATAACTCTAATTAAATGAATCACAACAATATTTAACTTCCGATTGGGATCAATTAAGTACGGAGCCCCTAAGGGGACATGGAGAAAAAAAAAAAAGGAAAGAAATCCCGACTTATTATCGCGAGATCCCGAGAAACTAAGTCGAGATCCCGACTTATTATCGCGAGATCCCGACTTATTATCGCGAGATCCCGACTTATTATCTCGAGATCCCGACTTATTATCGCGAGATCCCGAGAAAATAAGTCGGGATCTCGAGATCCCGAGAAAATAAGTCGGGATCTCGAGATCTCGAGATAATAAGTCGGGATCTCGAGATAATAAGTCGGGATCTCGAGATCTTGACTTAGTTTCTCGGGATCTCGAGATAACAAGTCGGGATCTCGAGATAATAAGTCGGGATCTCGAGATAATAAGTCGGGATCTCGCGATAATAAGTCGGGATCTCGAGATCTCGACTTAGTTTCTCGGGACCTCCCGATAATAAGTCGGGATTTCTTTCCTTTTTTTTTTTCTCCATGTCCCCTTAGGGGCTCCGTAATTAAGTATTTTTGAATTTGAAGTTGAATGGTTTTCTAAAAGCATCTAGTTTATTTTGCTAGTGGTGTAGTCTGATCATCCTTTGCCTTGATGTTTTCGGTTGGGAACATGGAGAGTTAACGATATGATGTTTTAGAATAAAGTACTTTGGTGGTTTGGTTAAATAACTACGGAGCCCCCCAGGGACATGGGGATTTTTTTTTCTTTTGCGTTCCCTGATCTGCTGCACAGAGAGCAGCCCTTTAAACCATTTAGACACGAACACAATGGAGACACAATCAGATGACTTATTACCCCGCGATAATAACTCTATTGAAAAACCTTATAAGCTTGTATTAAAGCAGAAAGTACGGCGGCCACCGTAAGAAAGGCTTACAGTATCAATTATGCCGCATGAACTGATAACTGATTATTGCGAGGGAACGCAAAAGAAAAAAAAATTCCCCATGTCTCCAGGGGGCTCAAAAAAATTCCCCATGCCCCCTGGGGGGCTTCGTAAAATTACACTCAATGATCCCAGCGGATAACATTGACACTAGATGGCAGTGTGGACATATTCTACTGAAAATGAGTATGTTGCTACCTCAAGTAACCTCAACTAACTCCCACAACATTTAATGTGAATGGCAGGACCTTAAATAAGGCTGGCAAATGATGTTGGATGAAAGCAATATATTAAATGAGAAAATATTTTATTCATAGTATTAATTCACTTAGTTTTAAGTTTAGCTAATTAACTGTCTGGTTAGAGTTTAAGTTTGAGTTATTCAAATCCAAACTACTTTACCCACCAAAACAAACTCATGGTCACAGGTTGAGTAGGACCAAAAAATGGCCCTGGCATTTTTAGCCATGGCAGCCACCATGATTATTTATATATGTGAAGGTATATGTCGACATACTGGATGGTGTATGCATATTTGTTTCAAAAAATTTAAAGAACCCACAGCAGCCCACAAGGAAGAGATTAAGCATTCATAAAACAAAAAACAAAAAAAAAACTGGCATGTTCTTTCACTACACAGAGACTTTCATCTTGTGAGAAATTACTACAGTGTATTGCATGGATTAGATATAAACCAGATAATCAAGTCGACGTAAAGAAACACTGCTAGAGATGTCTTCTCAGTGTGCTATAAAATAAACCGTTTATGCCAAGAGTACAACCATATAACTATGTAAAAAATAAGCTCCACCTCAAGGACCTTAAAGTATGAAAAACAGAGAGAATTTATTCTCTTCACACCAATGATACACCATCTGTTTCTGCACAGCAGTGTTTCACTAGTATTAATAGTTTTAACACCTGCAACCTTTAACTTTATGGCAAAATAACACTAAGTTTGACACCAAGTCTTACACACACACAGTTTGTGAACAAAACTGTAGCTTTGTACACAAATCACACCGAACTCCATAGGCTACAACTATTATGCATGATTTAAAATAAGCACATATTCAGGAACCACTGATACTGAAACAAGCTTTTGATTTTAACTTTCTCCAGTGAGCATTTGAGATAACAAGTAGCATTTATAAAGGAATGTGTGCCCATTTCATACACAAGCCAAATCAAAGTGTGTTAGAGAATAAAGACACTTGGGCTCAGTTAAAAATAAAAATAATAAAAGAAAGACACTAAGCAAAGATACTATATTAAATTGTATTGCACTACATCAAGATTATATGACAGAAGAGTTGCTAAAATGCAAATTCGTAAAACATGGATAGCTCAAATAAACACTTTAAAACAATCACAAACCAAACGGAGACCATGCAATAGTGATATTAATACTGTAAAGTACTTGGTTTTAAAGCATGTGATTGAAGTGAATTTAATGAAGTGTCAAACTATAACTGGATAAAGTTTGACTCTTCAATTGCAACTTTAATAAATGTTTATAAATATGCAGCACAAAGCACTGAGATACAGCACCCTCCACTACGACTGGCATCACAATGAGGAGGGGAAGAAACATCTTAGAGAAACTTGGTACTATCACCATTGCTTTTTGACAGCTCATATAAAGCCAGAAGACTGCAGCTGTGGCTTTAGCAAATACAGATGGTTCTAAAATATTCTGTCAACTTCAAATTAAGTGAATATATCATATATTGACAAGTTGCATCAGCTAGCTAGAGTTAAATGAGGCCTAAACATACAATGTGAGCACAGAACAATTTGTTCTTTTCTGCAAGAGCAAAATGACATCATTTCTAAGCTTTGGGAATTCTTGCAGCTTGTTCTCGACATCATGATGTTATTATTGTGTGAGTGGTGAGAAAATTGGATTAGTTATGGTTTCTATACTGACAAAAGCTGGAAATGGAGATGATTGTCATGACTTTCCAAGAGAAATGTTTTGGCCAAAAAGATCCTTGTTGGTACCTTGAGTAAAACAAATTCATAACAATATAACATATTGTTCTTAATTCAGTGTCAGCCAGTAGGAATTTTTTTTTCAAAACCTTCTTGACCATGTACTAGGACTTTAGTTTTTCATCTTATCTTTAGAACCAACCCTGCCACAGAGTGATAATTTATTCTGTGTTGCACATTTGTTCCTGAATTTAAGTTGAGCATATTCACTTCCTTACATTTCTAGGCTTAACTTCTGCATACAAACTTCCCATTTCCAGTGCAGAGCTCACAAAAAGCATGTCTCCCCTCTCAAATTTCTCCTCCTCCACTAAGGAGTCGCCAGTGAGATTCATGATCGCATCATTCTCCGTCTTCTTTGTTTTGCTCTTTCTTGACCAATTCACACTGGCATAAACCACATCTTCACTTTTCTTTCTTGAACTTTCACTGATTTCATTGTCAGTTCCATTTGAAGGTTGGCCAATTCCTGCTTGACTAAGTTCAGCAGAGTTTGCATAAATTGCATCTTCAGTCGGATTTGGTACCTAAGAATGAAGGAAAAACTTCAGGAATAAAAGCCTTTCAGAAATAATAATGAAGAACAACATGACAATAGTATCGGTGGTTAACAAACCTGATTTTCCTCTGTCATTAGACATGCATTTGTGTCAATATCAACTCCAATCCCTCTAGGTTTGGGGTGTGTCTTTTGAAACCTGAAACATATGCTTGGCATTTAATATTCGTTTATCTTTCAATGGTCGACTAAATGAGGCTTCAGAAAATGCAAGACCTTCTTCTATGGACAAAATAACATGCTACTTTCTTTGCTACTATATGTAAACAAAGGAGAATTTACAATACAATCCAAAATTACAAAATGAAAAACTAAAGACAACAATTTGTCTGCAAAATATTCACCTCATTGAACCTACCAGATAAAAACCAGGAGTGCAAATACCACCAGTAAAAAAACACCAACTGTGGCAATGAAACCAGACAGTGGGATTTGACCTACAAGAAAACAATATTATCAAAATTACTCTGCTGCAGCTGCAGCATGAATTTGATTCACAAATTTAACCAATTAAAGAGAGAAAAAGTCAGACCTTGGTTTTCTCTTGAGCTCTCAAGGAAACTGACAAAAAACTGTTTACTGGCTGATCCCAAGGAGTTGGAGCTGAAGCACAGCAAGGTGGACAGATCTCTGTACTGTGGTTCATTCACAGTGATGATGCTCCTCAAATGTGAGCCATTTAGAAGCTCATTTGTAACCATCTGGCTAGATGGACTAACAGGTTGTCCATTCAAGAACCAATGAGTCACTGGAGTCGGTTTTCCCTCCATTTCACAGGAGCAATTGAGCTGATTTGCACTTTTGGTACAGTTTGATGAGAGCAGGATCGGTGGAGGGACTGGAATGAAAGCCAAGAATCTGGTCAGTAATAAATGCAAAATAAATTTATATATATATATATATATATATATATATATATATATATATANAAAACCCAATAGACAGATGGCATGAAAGTTTAACAATTTGAAATGTAAATGTCTCACCTTTTACCAGAACTTTTGCAGCTCCTTATCGGTCCATCAGAAGGTTTTACACAATCAATTCAGTCCATGTAGACGAAGTAAACACTGCTCATTTGTTTGAAACCGCATACATTACCAAGAGACAACACTTACCGTATGTCTTCTAACAGTCAGTAGAGCCTAGACTAGGTTTACATTTTTTGAAGCATTAGCAACTCACCTAAAAAATGAGGAAGTAATTTAATAGTTGAGAAATACGACATAAACTTCCTCACCAGTAGTTTTAAACAGCACCATCTTCTTCCTCTGTGGTCTTTGCTTCACATACGTTTTTGAGGCTGAAAGAATCTTATACTTGGAAAATGCACATTTAACCAAAGAGAGCATTAATGTGGTGTAAAAGGTTGCTGGAGATTTAGAAAACATACAACCTAAGAAATAGATTTATAATTTACCAAATGAGAAGTAATTTCTAAACTCTGTCATGGGATTCATAAATTGCAATGAGTGTAAACCTTACTGCTATAGCTAACTCATCTATTAATGTTCTATGTGTGGACATTCACACAGACCATGTGTGCATATCCACATGCATTTATGTGCATGCATGTGTGATGCAATTTGTGATGCAATTTTCCACAGGTTACATACATTTTTGTGTGGGAAAATTGTGTGGGTTTTTTGTGTGTGTGTGTTAATTCCTGATGCACTTGAACATATTCTTTGCATTGCGCTGTTTATTGGTTGCCATGGGAACGAGTCTGCGTGTGACGTTGATAGACTGAGAAAAAAATAATACAATCACCCGTTTTTCTACGTTTTTCCTGGACAAATTGCATAATTTGTCCGTGGAATGTGGCAATATTCAGAGCAATCATCAAATAGGATGAAATATTTCATAAAAGATAGGAGTCAAAGTTTGTTAAATTTTAAACCATGACTCCTACAGTGACAATTAAGCAAAATGTAATTATTGGCCATAATAAGATATGAATTTGCTTAGTCCTCTCTTGTATCTTTACAGAACTGACAGAAATCAAACTGTTTATAGATTTATTTGCAGAGAGAATATGTATTTTACATATCCAAAAATCAGCACTTTTCTCAGCTTTAATTTAAGCCACATTTTATAGAAATTGGATGAGAAATATCCAATAGGGGCTACAACCATTTCTTGTGACAGATTCCTGCTCATCCTGCATTGGAACAACTGGTTTTGTGGCCATGACTCTATGCATAGTAATGGCAATGTCACTAGCTGTAGTGGCTAATAGGCAATGTCCAATACAGTAATATTGATGGTCACTCTATTCTACTCCTCAACTGCCACAACCAGACCTAAAAAAGTCCCACTGAAAATCGACAAGAGCAGAGAAACAGATGTAACTTGGAAATTAATTACTCTGGCATCACTGGCATTAGTACATAGAGGACAGCTGCAGAATCACAGGTGAGACAGAAAAATATATGTAAAATGAAATAAAACCTGTCTTATTGTATCATTTTGTATAATTTTGCATCTTTAATATTTGCTATATTAAAGACGCATCATAGTTAATCTGATATGTGATTCAGCAGGGCACACATTTCTGCCAGCCTGTTGAGGGAAAGCTGTGGAATCAGAATCACATAATTGAAAGATACAAAGTTAACACTGACAAGAATTCATTTGGTTTACACAGAAGTTTTTTTATTCTGTTTTTGAAATGTTTAATAACATTTTGATTGTTACAGAATGTCCTGTTGTTGATGTTTTTGAGCAGCTATGGCAACTATGTGATAATTCCTCACAAAAAATATGACTGAATTTTGAAACTGCTTTCAACTGTAGGCAAGCATTGAGCAAATGTACAGACTTTATCCCATAAACTAGAATATGACTGAAAAGTTCCGTTGTTAGTAATTCCATCACCAAGTAAAATTACAATTATTTTGGAGTATGTTTAATACCTGCTAAAAAGTTATTTTCTAAAGATATTATTAATCTGGCAAGCCTCATCAGGACATATGTACTAATTTATTGAATAAGACTGTATGGCTTTCACATGTAAGATTTGGGCTTATTCTTGGCACAAAAAGAGAAAAGATCTTCCAGTAACTGTGGGCGCATCAGCACCCTCTGCTCCTCCTCGTCCCCACCAACTTGCAACACAGTTACACCCTTGAGAATACATGCACTAATTTTAACCAGGGTGTTGTAAATAAATTAAAAGTGACAGAATTGCTTGTTGGCGCCGCACATTAATAATATATTCCAATGTGTTTCCAGATGTTGTAAACTGCCACTGCAGACTTCCAATGTGGTTCTTTGTGCAGCCTCTGAGTTGCAGGATGTCTCATCAGTGTCCGTCTTCCTGACTGCCAATCGGTGTTTACCTTCAGGATGTCCAGAGACCTTCACATTTCTGGAGCAGGGATCACATGAGCTCAATGTGCTGATGAAAAATTTCTAATTTAAAAAACATATGTCTGATGCTATTAGAGAGATGAAGTGCATAAATAATCTGTTGTTTTTAACTTATGAATATGTTAAATTATGATTCATCTTATGCAGTTTACCATAGAGATATAGAGCTGGTTATAAGAGTTGGCTTATACTTTGCATAACTTTGTATAGCAAGGTTAAACTTTGTATACTTTGTATAACCCGGTTATGCAAAGTATGGAAACATATGATACTTAAAATTTCTGCTGAGCTTGCATGTCATGCAGCCACAGCCTATTACAACATTTGACAGCAGCAATTTTCCTTGATTACGGTAGCTGAGAAGCCTTACTAACTTAGACTTTGTTAAATTTGAAACATGTAAGGTTGTACTACTTGTAGTTGGAAAACTCGCTCTGTCCAAGATGTGTACATCAGGCGAAAAGACCTTCAGGCACATAACAGAATCTGTCCAGAAAAGGTCAGGATTGCTTGGTTGTATTTTTCTATGTACAAATTGCTTACCATCATTTTCATCGGCATTCATAGAGCAGTTCATGCATCTTTTTCCTTAAATGCAGTCTATAACCTTTGCTCAAATTCTAGATGAGAGCAAATTCTCATCTCATCTGAATTATGAAGCCTAGGCATAAATTCAAACTGGAAGACTCTTCATCTCACCTGCCCAGCCAATCACCTCATCAGGCGCCTATTGGTGCTGGTCTTCTCCTCATGCCCTTCAATCATCAGGCTTCACTTCCTTCATAAAGTCCGGTGTTCTCTCTACACCTGCGCCTTGGTCGACTTTCAATCCACCTCCACCCTTTCTCCACCTTCAACTCTTGACTTCTTCAGTTCCCCTTCAATCTTCGGCATCCTCTCCACCACCAGAGTCCAGAGCCCTGGGAAAGACGTCTCTGGTCCTTATGCACAGTGGCTCATTCCATCTGATGGCAGTTACCAGCGCCATGTTTTCTGGGTCCAAAAGCCAAAGATTATTAATTGTCAAAGTTTCTAAGTTTCTAATAGCTACTTTCTCGCCTTGTGAATCTTTCCAGGTTGAACTGACAGATCACTACGGAAGATCTTTCCTGCCCACAGCCATCACTATCTACAATAACACTTTAATTATATGAGTCACAACAATATTTAATTTCTCCTTCGGATCAATGAAGTATTTTTGAATTTGAAGTTGATTTGAATTAATGGTTCCAAAAGCAGACAGTTTTTTTTTTTGCCAGGGTTGCATGTTGGTGATGTTTTTGGTTGATAACGTGGAGAGACAAAGATATAATGTTTCAGAATAAAGTGCCTTGGTGGTTTGGTTAAATAACAAATATTCAGAAACAACACAAACTAAACAGAGGCAAGCTTTTTATTTAAACTTTCCCCAGTGTTCATCAGAGTTAACCTGTAACATTTATAAGCAATGCATGGCCCTTTTCTACACAAACCAATTCAAACTGAATGACAGAAAACAATATTTAAGCTGAAAAGAAAACATTACAAATAACATTCTCAACAAGACTTTCAACAAAGGCATTGTATTAAATTGCATTGTATTATATATCAATATTTATATAACATAAACTGCTAAAATACAAATTCATAAAATGTGGATAAAAAAGAACTGGTCAAATAAATGTTTTAAATCATTACAACTCAAAAGTAGACCCTGTTGTACTGATATTAATATTGTATAATCTGAGTACCTCTAAGTCTGATATTTTAATGATGTATCAGACGTTAACTACATAAAGTTTGACTCCTTAATATTTGCGCAATATTGAAATGTCAATAAATAATCAATTCTATCCAGAAATAGCTTAAATTTCTAACAGATTATCCTTTATATATGTAAAAAAAAATCATTAATCATTAAACCTTAATATACTATGCACAGAAAATCAGAGCTCAATTTAGACAAAAAAGAAAAATATAAAGCAAACAGTTCAATAAATGTTTATAAATGTGCAGCTCAGAGCACTTTAATACATCAACTAAGAAATGTCTTAGCCTTATTGTTGCCACCAAACAAATTAATCAATTGTTGCAAAATACGGACTTTAAATCAATGTAACAGAACAGTGCTTACGTTTTTTGAAAGCGTTCTTAATGAGACCTTTCATTTTGTTTCATTTTATTTTCAAAGCACAGCTCACCACAGACTGATAATTTATTCAGTGTTGTTACAATTCTTCTTCAAGTTAACCTGAACATATTTGTTTTCTGCATCCTTTCTTACATTTCTAGTCTAAACTTCTGCATACAGACTTCCCATTCCCAGGAAAAAAGCTCACAAAATACATTTCGCTCCTCTCACACAAATTCTCTTTGTAGGTTTTTTTTGTTGTTGTTGTTGTTGTTGTCGTTATTTCTTGACTAATTCACACTGACATGAACCAGGTGTTATTTTATCTTTCCTGAACACTCTCTGGTTTCTTCTACATTTTCATAAGACAAGTTGGTGCTTGCATTTGCTTGGTGGTTTTCTGCTTGAGTAAGTGCAGCAGAGTTTACATAATGGACATCTTTGATTGGGTTTGGTACCTAAGAATGAAAGAACAACTTGGATCACCTTTTAGAAATGATAATAATAAAAGAATAACAAAAAAAGCTGTAGTCAACAAACCTCATTTTTCTTTCATTAGTTATATGTCTGTGTTGAGATCACCTCCAGACCCTCTAGCTTTGTGGTGAGTCTTATGAAACCTAAAAAAAGTATGGTGAACATTTAATATTCATCTTTTTTTCACTGATCAACTTAAAGTCTCAGAAAAAGCAAAACACTTATGGAGGCAGAGATAAAATAACATCTTACGTTGTCATCTTCTGTATAAGCAAGGGGGAATTGTTACAGAAGCTACAAAATTACAAATTAAAAAACTAAACAGACAATATTTTTCTCTTCACTTACCAGATCAAATACAGCACGGCAAATACAAGGAATACAAAACCAGTAACTCTGGTGATTAAGACAAGCGCTAGGATTAACCCTGCAATACAGATCGACGATTATGAGAATTACTGTTGCTGCAGCATTATTTTGGTTCACAATTTTACAGGGAAGCAAAAGACAGACCTTGGTTTTCTCCTGAGCTCTCAAGGAAACTGACAAAAAACTGTTTACTGGCTGATCCCAAGGAGTTGGAGCTGAAGCACAGCAAGGTGGACAGATCTCTGTACTGTG